GCTGAAAGAATGGAATAACTAATTCATATTCTCTTATTAAAACTATGGAAGCCCTAAAGAGCAATTAATTCTTACTGTGGTAACTGAGAAAGATTTTATAGGAAAGATGGCACAGAATCCTTTCAACAAGCAGAGCAAGGGTCTGGAAAGAATTATTCCACATTGGATCAGACAAAACATGGAGGTATGAAAACGGGGGCCACAGAGCAGGTCATCTAATAGATCTGAGGCTGTAATGCAAGGCGAGGAGTGAGGATTAGAGGGCTGGCAATGCCATACTAATGACTATCATTTATTGAGAATATGCCAATCATCGAAGTATTTTATGTACTTTTTTATTTCCTTGATTCATTCTTCCTACACCTTTATGAGGAGGAACTATGATTATGCCCATTTTACAGAAGAGGAAATTAAGGCTAAAGCATTAAGTAAATTCCTAAAGTATCATGGTTGGAAGTTATTGAAAAAAGTTCAAGTCAGACTCTAAGGCTTTGTTCTTGACTCCTGACTGGCACTGCTGAGTGGTACAGGATTTCAATCAAGGTATTGGCAGTCTGCTTGAGTTTTATGCTAACTCTGAAGTACTGTGAAGGGCAGGAAGAACAGGAGGAAAATAACAAAGACAGGAAGGCCAAATAGTCTCTGTTACAGCAGATCAATGAGGGACCAAGAGGCCCTGAATTAGATCAGCAGAAACAGAAAAGGCACCTCCTGGAGAGGCATTTCACAAGTAAAACAGGTCCTAAGAACCTGTTTACATGTGAGGGAAGGATTTAAAGATGACCCCAAATATTTCATCATCTTTTTAAAAAAAGAGACTCCCTACTAACTGAGGCACGGATCACTGAAAGAACAGGTGGACACGGATTTCAGTTTGATACTTACTTATAGGGTGTGAGGTAGTGACCCAGGGTAAGAGGGATGTGGAGCTGGTGGGTTGGAGGTACGGTCTGGAGTTAAGGTATGTACCTGTAGGTACAGCTATAAAGAGACTTAGGAGTCAATTACACAATGATAATATACATAAAGCTTTCAGTTAAAAAAAAAAAGATTTCCCAAGGGATGGAGTTTGGAGCAGGAAGGTAAAAAAGGAGAGAGAGAGGGACAGAGGGAGAGAGAGAATGAACAGAAGAACAGGACTGAATCTTGAGCGATGCTATGGTTGTAAACACAACATAATTCGCTGCCAGGTCGGGCTGGGTGACACACCTGCCCAGTTTCCGGAGGCGGCAGTTTTTATTCGGCCGTACTGCCTGGCTGAAACCTCAGGTCCACCGTATACTTGCTGGGTGGCCTTTCTTCATTTTTGCTGCCCCTCAATTTGCAACTCCATAAAATGGAGATAAGAGCACCTACATAAATGGTGGCTGGAAGGATTACACTATATGTAATTACACACACACATAATGCTGTATGTTTAGTATAGTTTTGATTGTTGTTTTTCTGTGCTGATCCTGATTTTGTTTTCTTCTTTAGACCATTAGATTTTGTGTTGATTCTATTTGAAGGGCCACAAACTGCCAAGACTGATGTTCGTGTGTTTCAGTGATGTAATCATTTTTCTAATGGGACTCCTGCTTCTGTTCAGGACAGAGCAGCTGGCACCCGCTTACTCTACTGACAGAACGAGAAAACCGGTTAAAACACAGGACACGGGCAGCGCAGTACTGAGAACCTTGACAGAAGCAAAACGAATGCCGTGAGCCCCGCGGTCCCCCTGGCCTTCCGCCGGCGGCACTGTGCAGGCGGCAGAGCAGAAAGGGGGTTCCCAGCTGAGCGCGACAATCTGGCTGAATTGAGGAGACCAAGACCAGAATTCGAGGGGGATGAAGTAGCCAGAATGTTCATGGTGGAGAAATGGAAAAGACGAGCTCTAAGGGGGACATGCAGACAAAGTGCTCCAGAAATCAACACAGGGGTCTCCCTGAGTTTTGGCTGAATGCAAAGCTGTGCACTGTACAAAGGGTGGAAGTCCACAAGGCGAGGCCAGAGGAAGTTGTAGGCTGAGCAAGGCAGGAGCTCACCAGGACTGCCAGAGTTGACGTTCCAACCGGTGGGAGTAGAGGAAGAGACCCCAGCAAAGTCATGTCTGTAAGAAGGGGTGAACTAGCCCTAAGATACACTTTAACTTTACCCTAATGAAATTTAAAAACAAACCTTGAAAGGACCAGACAATCTGCGAATAAGTTAACTACCTCCCAGGACAAAGTTTAACACTCTTTGAAAGAAGACAACATAATGGAGCACTCAGTGAAAAAGTCTGGCACTCAATCATTTCCCAGTCATTCTTATTAAAGGACAGGGATGCTAACCTGGAAATACTTTTTCATCTCTTTGGCAAGCAATTAATTAATCTTCAATCATAGGAATGCTCTATGTTACAAAATTTCTCATATAAATATATCAGGTCAATTGACTATAATATTTTGGCCTACAATCTTATTACTTCTTTCTCCCAGGTAGCCATAGCCATAAGGCATGTGTAATTTTGCTGTTATATAATTATCAATCTGGGATAAACTTCAGCATCTTATGTTCAGTTAAAATTTATAGAATTTATCTAGAGTCGATTCAATGGTCAGATATTTGGGCCAGAATATGAAGCTTTGGATTCATTAACCTTCCTAAGGAAATCCTGACTGTGCAGGGTTGTAACTGTATGTGTGTGTGTGTTTCAATATGTAACTTTTACTTAAGAAAGATGCTTGAACTGGGAGCTTATTTACTTGTGTGTTTCTAATCAAAAGAGGTCGTATTTCTCTGGCTATGGTTAAAATAAACATAGGGAAAATGGATCTTTTCTCAGGAAATGGACTGTGAGAAAAGAGTCAGTAGTGATTAAATAATATTCTTGAGGTCTGTTTGGAGGTCCTTTAATGACTTCTTCCTTAATTCTGTAAGTATGAATTTATAAGCAACCAAACAGATTACAATCACAAAACTGATTATTTTTTATGGTGGTTTTTGAACTGTCTGGTATCTGAACTCTCATCCTCTCTCTTTTGGGGGAATTCCCTGTAATCTGAGTCTTATTGGAATGTAGAGTATCTCTCATGACAGAAACCAGAAAGTTCGGGTAATTATCCCCCCACCCCCACCAATAGCTAGGATGAATACACCTAGCCTCAGTTACTTGTCAAAAGCTTAAATGTGAAGCAAGTGACACAAAGAAAAGTGACAGAATTTACTCTGGCAGTAGCCACAACACCCAGTTACTACGGTCAGCAGGGCCAGTGGAGCTTGTCATGGTGCCAACATCCAGTTCCAGCAGTTGCTTTCCAGCTCTGGCATCCAGGATATAGCAGTTGCTATGGCACCATTATGGCTGAGATCTAAGTACCTTTTGATTAAAATACAGTTGTTTTCCATTACTTGCAGCTAAGAACCCTGGCTGACTCATGCAGAGACATTTGATTTGGCTTATATTGGGGCACAAATTTTTCTTGCATGAACAGATACGTATGTATGCTGGAGAACACTAAGGCACAGTCTTCTACTCTCTTTTTCTGCCGAAAATTACTCCTTCAGAGGTCTCAGCCAGTCCCAAGCCTCTATCATCTCTTAATTGATGACTCCCATATTATGCCTCAAATACCTACACCTCTACTGAGGTCCAGACTTGTATAAATAAGTGCTTACTCAACAACTTCACTAAGATGTCCAAAAGACATCTGCCTTAGATAGCCAAAACAAAACTGATTTTTCCCCCCAAAATCTGATCCTTCTTCAGTCTTATGTCAATTAATGGCATCTCTATTCATCCAGCAGCTCAGAACAAAACCTTCAGTTACCTTTGATTCCTCTCCTGTCCTCAGCCTCAACATCTATACATTGGCAAGTCCTCAACTCTCTACCGCAGCAAATTCTAATCTCAATCCTGCCACTTCCCATCACCTCTCCCCCTTCTTCTTTAGCCACAGATGTCATAAATATCAACTGGACTACTACAATAGCTTCCACTTTGCTTTCTGTAATTCACTCTCTCCATGTGGCCAGAGAGATCTTTTTATAATGTAAATCAGATCATGCATTTCTCCTATTTAAAACTCACTTAAGGCTCTCCTTGCACAAAGAATAAAATACAAAGCCTTTACCCTGGCCTACAAGGCCCTACATAATCTAGCTTCTACCTTTCACCCCCATCTCTTACCACACTTTCCCCCAACTGTGTGGCAGCCAGAACTGCCTTCTATACTTCATGACCTTAGTGGCCGTAGTTATGTCTACCTGGAATTCTCTTTCTCCAGAATAAGTATTTCCTTCTCAGTATTCAAATAGCAAATCCTCAGGAAGGCATTCTGATCGAAATTAACTCCCCTCCCCACATTTGCTATATATATTCTACTATTCTGCTTTCCTTTCTTCAGACCGTATTATTACCATTTAAAATTGCTTTACTTACTCATTTGATCTCTATGTCACCCAACATACTATGGAGAGATACCTGTATTTTATACCACTGTAAGTCCAACACTTAAAACAGTTCCCAGCACATACTGGGTACTCATTAAATATTTGTTGAATGAATGAGTGAATTTAATGTCGGTAATGATACTGCATTAGAATTTCCTTTTGTAATAAAATACCTTCAGTTATATTCTCCCAAGTGACAAAAAAGGACCATTCCCCTTAAATCAGTATTACACCCATGCCTAAGTCTGAAGATGTTCAATTGAAAGAAATAGAAGCCTATGAAGAATAAGCAGTAATTACTCTAAAACATAATTATTGTCCAATCATGTTTTTTACTGCAATAATTCCAATACTATCACTTTCTATTTTCATTTGTATTAGGGAGAATCACACATTACCCTAAAATGGGTAGATAAAATGATCTTTAGATAGTTTAATAAATAAATTAAAAACACTATGAAATCCTTAGATGAAGTACAAATCACTTGTCAAAAGTACAATCTCATTTGTCAAAACATGAAAATGAAAAAAGAGAAGACACAGAAATAACAGGCTCAGAGCTGCCAAACTGACAGGCTGTCTTAAGTGAGATAGTCAAAACATTCATATGCTAATTTTTAAAAGCGCTGTCTATCTGGCCATCCATACAAAAACATGAGAGGGTTTTCTTTCTATTTCAAAAGTATATGAGTGGATCAGACAGTGGACGCTCTGATTACCAAATTAACAACAGCAATTAAGACCATGAAAATTTTTCCATTTAAGTTCTGAATGCACAAATAAGACAATTACTAAACTGACCTGCATGGGAGGTAATTAAGAGAATCCAACCCCCACAAAAATAATCTCATCAGTTATATCCTCTAATATAGTTGTTGGCAGCCTTTTGCATATAGAACACAGAGCAAAAAATGACTTTCCAAGTTAGTAGCTGGGGTTAGCTATATATTGAAAATGGCAAAAATCGAAGAGCAAAAAACTACCAAAATAGGGTTAAAGGTTTAACCAAAAAGTACAAATATTATTTTTAAATTATTTTCCTTTTAATTTAGTATCTTAAAGGGTTTTCTAGTTCACGTTTCTCCTGAGCATTCCTCCCTCTTGCAACACTAATAATTCTAAACAAAAGAGCATCTCCTTAAAGTGTTGCTTTCATTTGGTTGATAAATTAGCCATTAAATTTACACTCTCATATATCATCCTGCTTCCTGGGATGTGGAATCCAGTCTAGCAATAAAACTGAAGTTTTGCTCAAATTTGCTTTGATAAGGAGGCTGGTGTTTCCAGACTTGGATTCTGATATGCAGCTAAAAAATAAAGTGGCCACATATTGTATGATCCATTTATGTGAAATGCCCAGAATGGGCAAATCCATAGGGATGAAGTAGATTGGTAGTGGCCAGGGACTGGGGGGTGGGAGAAATGAAGAGGGGCTGCCAATGGGCGCACGGTTTCTCCTGGGGAGACGACAATATTCTGGGATCGGACAGTGGCTGCACAACGTTGTGAATATAAGAAAACCAATGAATTGTACACTTTAAGGGGGTGAATTTTATGGTATGTGAATTATATCACAATAAAGTTGTTATTAAAAAAATGTGGTCAGCTTGCCCCAATACCAAAAAATTAAGTTAATATATAATTCTCATTAAATTTTTTCTCTCACAAATTTTTTAAAACTTTGACATGCGCTGTATCATTCATCTTCTAGCACCAGACAACAAAAATAAATAATTATCAAACTATTATCAGCATGAAAAGTTGAGAAAAACATTTTATCAATATTCTTAGTTGAATGGATTATTTTATTCCTGAATGGATATAAATTTATTGCAAGTATATATAGCACAGAATCATTTTCTATAATTATCATTACTATAGCACATTTAAAAGACATAATAAAATACGCCAATATTTCATAGCATTTTACTAAGAACACCATGGCTCTATATGGTGTCTTGTTTAGACATATTAGAGCCAATAAAGCAGAACAAAGGTAATAAGGCCAAATAAAGATGAATCTAATCTTTATAACAACATATGCTAGCCTAACATATCTGATCTATGACAACTCAAAAAAACTAACAACCTGTGCACAAACCTTTTCTCAAGCCCCCCATCCACAAAAAAAGTAGGTGGAAAGGTTATTTCTTAAAATCCTCACCAATTTTAGCACTATCACTTCAAAGATAAAATTTTTAAATTCTAATCCTAAAACACAGTGACTATTCCATGTGTATAAACCAGTTCTACCTTAAAAACATATATTTTTTAAAAACCTCTCCTTCCTAAAGCAGTCACATCTTAATGACAACAGTCACAATTTTCTTATCTGAAGATCCAAAACTCATGTTATCCATAGACATTTCTAGCTTATCATAGTTATTCTTATATATATATGACTTTTACATTGTTATAATAATCAAATCAAATAGTATATAGTATACTGTTTTAATTATTGCTTTTTTTAAAAGTATGGTTTATTATGTCAGGATTAATCAACTTTCTGTAGCTTTATTCAAAATAACCAAAATAAATTTTGATATTCTAACCTATTTTCTTCCACATAAATTTCATATTGATCATGTCAAATTTCAAGAAAAATCAGTTGATATTTTTCCTGTTTTCATTATATAAAATCATACATAGTTCCTATTCACATTATTCTTGAGTAATTTTTGCTGTGATAAATGTGCTTCTTTTTTCCCACCTTATTTCCTAACCTCGGTGGAATGCTATTTATTTTATCGAACTCCTACTTTTTCTAGTATCTTAGTCAACTTACTTGGACTTTCTAGGTATAAAATAGATTTGCTGTAAATACTTTTGCCGTAATTTTATATAAAACTATTTAAAAGTTTTACCTCAAAACTTTTGTACAATTCAAAATAAAGTACATTTAAATGAGTAAGAAAGCCAAGTCTGAGAATTCCTAGAGATAAAAAAAATAAACAAATAAAACAAGGTAACAAATTCATCCAGAAAGAAATACAAATCTAAGAAAGTAGATTTTAGCTTGAAGGTCATATGGACTTCATTTCAAATTTATATCTAAAAACCACTCTGAAACGGGTAAGACAATTTGAAGAACTCCAGATGTATCTAAGCTTATTTTTCACGAACTGTCTCAATAATCTCCCCCGAAACAGAAGTTCCAGTACAAACCAGGATTTGGGAAAGACAAAAACATCAAAAGATATGTTCCTGAATAAGGGGCTTATTGATCCTTCTTTACCAGAATAATAGCATCATGCATCCCAGTAAAAGTCCGTCTAACACGTCCAAAGCCCAAAGGTCTCGCGCTGACGGAAGGGGCGGGAACGGTGAGCGATCTGGTCTGGGAGTTCTGTATTCCTACTCCAAAGACCCTAGTCTTGTTTTCTCGTAGAGCCTGGAGAAGGTGAACAGAACCTGACAGCAGCTGCCTTGCTCTCCAGTCTCTCCCTCCAAACAGGATTGAAGTGCCACCTGCTACCCTCTTCCAGGTCAGGCCCACCCATAATCTAAGACCCGTTCCTGCTTTTTGCAGAAATATATTAGCAGTCTCTTTTCTTTGTTGTTACAGCTATTGCCCCATATTAACGCTGCCTTTGTCCTCAGCCTCCTGAGCTGAGCCCTGGCTCCGTGGGGGCCCACTCCTTATATTCAAGTTTTTTATGCCTTATTTCTGAATACCCAGAAACCCATTGCCTCTGTCTTGCCCTCAAGAACACCTTGACACCTGACCTACCATCTGACTCTGATCTTTGGTATGTGTCCCTGGTTTTGGGTTGTCCTCTGCTCTCAGATACCTCAGCTTGGCTGTGACTATCAGTTTCAAGGCTGTCCTTGCAGGAAATGTTGCTAACTGAGGAAGAAGAATTTGGAGGTGGAGGTACATGTACATTGAGAAAAAGGGATATAAACAAATAAGACATCTAAAAATGGCTAAGTTGGACAGAGAAGACAAGTAGTGACTCTATAGCATCTTGCTATTCTGATGGACAGTGACTTGAATGGGGTTTGGGGTCAGGGGGGCACTTGATAATAGGGGTGAATGTTGAAACCATAATGTTGCTCATGTGAAACCTTCATAAGATTGTATATCAATGATACCTCATTAAAAAATGGCTAAGTTGGTAAATTTTAGGTTATGTATATTTTACCACAATTTTTTAAAATGTTGAAAGTAAACCAAACAAATAATAGAAGTGAACCTCAGAGACTATAGGAAAAGAATAGCTATTTGGTGATAGTCTAAAAGAGAAGCAACTAAGATTATCAGGACAAAAGTTGAATAAATGAAAGGAGCCAGGTCAGAACTGAACGTGAATGTTTTGGTATTAGGATGCTTGAATCCAGAAATAAAGTCATGGGTAAAGATTGATTATGGTGAGATACTTTTTTGTTTAACTAGTTTTAATTATGAAGTTAAAATACATTGTGGTAAAAATGCAGACAGAAGAACATAAAATAAAAATTTAAGCTAATCCTCACATTACTGCCTAAACTCTCCTATGTACACACATTTTTTCCAACTCATATAATACTTTGTATACAGACCTGCAGCTTGCTTTTCTACCTAAAAGAATATCTAGGATCTATAAGAATATCTCAGAAGCTGCCTTCTCTTATTATAAATGGCTACATTATATTCAAAACACAGTAACTGAATTGGCCCATTGGTAGGATCTAGTCACCTATGGTCTGACCCTTGAAGAGTATCGGGCACAATCCCAGGCTTTTCTTCATTGCGGTTTCTTTGTATACTGTCATTATCTCATTTTCTGCCTAAAACTTTGTTAAAAGCAGGATCTCTATCATTTCATCTTTATATCTCCAGTACCTACAATGGTGCTTAATAAATAATAATGCTAAATACTTTGTTGAATGAATGAATGACCGCTGCCTTATCCAAAGATAAATGGCTAATAAGTGGCAGAAACAACATTTCAATTCTCAATCTAGCTCTCTTTCCATTGGACCAAATGATTTTACTGAGCCTACCTTAAAAATGGATAAACAAAACGCCCTACTACCTACGGTATCAAGTCCAAATATTTCCCTTGGTTTTTGAGGGAATAATTTGGGCCTATCTTTTATTGCCAACCCTATGCTCCTTGACTTTATGATCG